TTCTTGCCATTACTACACTGTTTTAATTGGCGAAAGCGATCTGAAAATGTAAGGATTTTCCCTTATATGTTTGTTAAGGCAGTCTTACGTCAGTCGAGCGGTAGGTTATACCAAGAGTTCTGTCAGCTTATTTTTGATGTAGACAAAAATACCGTTGTTGTTTGGATAACAAATTACGTCGTCGTATTAGTGTTGACAGACTGACTGATGCGGGCAGCTGAAGGTTCAGTTTTATCCCCGATCCAGAAAACAAACACAAAGCACTTACATTTTAATCTAGCTTTGCTTTGACAAAACAGTGACAGGGCGAGTGCATTTTTGACTTATTGAAGGAAGCAGTGCCAGTTCTGTCCTCGAGGAACGTTCCAGGATGAAGAAATACAAACTGTTTGTAAGCTGTGTCCAACGGATCATACCACAGCTGCACAAGGTAATCGCTGTTTTGCATCTAAAAATGTTTATAGAAAATCATTGATCCAGAAAACCTATGAAAAGTTTGGAAAAGGATTTTGCTGGCGCTCGTAGCAGCAAAATCTTGAATGATGCTTCTGATCTGTTCACCCATGCACTGCAAACTTTCAGTGAAATTCTGCTTATCATATGTAAAAGTATATTAAGGTGCAACACAAGCAAGCCAGTGCTACTCAACGAATCAGTGCGCCACCGGTGAAGATGATTGTTCCTGGCATGCTGTGTGCATTGATTTACCGGATGAGAATGATATTCCATCATATCAGTGCAAGTGTAAGCCTGGTTATAAGGGGAATGGAACACATTGTCAAGGTAACACTAGTTTTTTGCCACAGGTTGTTAAAAGAAGGCAGTTGCTCAGTTGTGAGCAATGAACTTTTCAACTTTGAAATAAAAGTGTTTTAATTTCTCCCGAATCACTTTTGGAGCCCGTCATATTTCGCTTGAGCAAAAATAGAGCGAGCAGAAGAGGTCTAATTTGTGTGATGTGCGCATGTGTTTGTAATGTCCTGAAGTGTATGAACTGTGTGAGAGGTGGATCTACGGTAGCCAGGCCGAGCAACAACAAAGTATACTTTATTAGAAAAAAAATATGAAGACTCACGGCCCAAGTGGGCTACGGTGAGGGCTTTCAAAAACCACTGTCACAGATTAGTCTGGAGTTGAAAGAAATAGCGATCCTAAAATTCCGCGCAAGATGCCCTCTTTGAGCCGCACAAACTGAACATGCAACTAGTCACAAATACTAAGCAATACAGTAGTAGTGATCACTGAATTAAGGGAAGATCTGGACGTTGGCCTGACGAGATGCGTCGTACCGCGAAGCCGAACGAGTGTCTCGACTGCGAATGTCGACTCCTTTTGTAATCCTGCAATGGAATTTCCAATAGCGCCCGGAGGAGGGTTTTTCCCGTTCTTCGATTTGTCGGGGGGAGAGGGAGGAGATATTTCCCGACAGATTTTTGTGTTACGTTTTGACTTGCGTCCGAACATAAAGCCAAATCATTTGGTTTCAAATGCTTTCGCAAAAAGATCCTGATAGGATCTTTATTTTATATTTTATA